ACGTACGAGCCTCATAGCTTCGGAAATAAATTGGATGGGCTGAACCGATGGGTTAGGTTAGGTTAGGTTAAGAAACTAGTTTTGTATGAAAGTAGAAGACTGTCTTCTGAGATATTTCGTTTTATAATATGTTTAAAAATTTCTGACGTTTCGGAGTTTCTTCCTGCCTCCATCATCAGGGCGAGAAGCAGCAAGTACCTCTGAACGTACATTGGCTTCAACCAGACTCGCCGTCGTAAGAAATCTCAATGAGATTTCGGATGTCTCTCTATCTCTCTCCAGTAAGCTACAGCCATAATTATTTCAACATTCTACAATAGACGAAGTAAATAGGATAAAAATGGATACGAAAGGAGGCGGAAATGAAGCAACGGATGTGAAGAAGACGTCATTATCTTTTTCTTTGCTTCAAATTGAGATGGAACTGTAAGATAACAGCAAAATTAGGCTTTGAGGCCGGCAGGACCCCTGTCTGTTAATAACAGCGCTTGTCTGTTCCTTAATTTTACGAGCTTTTTTCAAAAAACACTAACGAGACACACAGGACACGTGCGGCAATATTCTTTTTGCCTATAATTCCTTTTAAAAAAACGTTGAAATGTTAAAAAATATTTCAGAACGGCATAGAATTTGAGAGGCTTTTAATTTTAGTTATAATCAGTTTGATTTTATAATATGAACGATAATTACGCTTTTGGGATTCATTTTTTTTTACGGCGTATCTGTGGTAAGCCTTATGGACCCCGTTGAATCCGTCCAGAGGAAACGTTTATAGTTCCTTTTGTTCTGTTGTGGGGAACAAAAGTAGCAGATGTTCCTGCCTCAGGTCCATTTATCCAGCAGACGGACAGACAGACAGACAGACAAGCACGGCGCTGATCAATATGCCTCTGAGCTTTCGAAGGAGAAGGCTGCAGCTTTGCACACTAAACACGCAAGGGTTAAGTGGGGGTGGGGGGTTAGTTACGAAATATTTAATTGGTGTTTCACCTGCTTGAAGCATCATTGTCAGATGTTAATTGGCCATATTCTGGCTGCTTGTAAACTGAGGTTTGATATTTGCATCGAACTGAGTTCCAAAAGTATTATATTTTCACTTTAAATCGTTTTGAATGTTGTGATATCTGAGATATTTATGATTTGTGCACTTCGATAAATATTATGATGATCAAATCAAGAAGATGAAATGGGCTTGGACATGTATCAGGCGTGGAGATTAGAAATTCGCATAGAATTCTAATTGAATACATAACTTAGAATACTTAGGTTTAAATGGGATGACAATATTAAAATGAATTTTAAGGACACAAAGTGAGAATTTGGATTTGAACCAAGTGGCTCAGGGCAGCATCGAATATTAGGCTCTTGTGAACACACCTTCTTGAGAAGCTGATAGTCACTCAGCTCCTTTTAAAATGCCCCATTTTTTATTTACGGAAACCGAGGGTTCATTACCGCGTTTTGGTACGAGGTTTTCGAGACCAGAAAAAAATATTTTAAGAATACATTGTCTGCTTAATTTCAACGTTAATATAGTTTGTATCTCGCTGTAATTCGTGTCTGAAAGAAGAATTTTCCAGGTAGCAGAAGCTCTGGAGAACAATTTAAAGTAGCGAGGACGAAGGCAATATGAAGATCAGCCCACGCGCGCTCTCTGAAGAATCTTCCCTCTTCAATACTGAGCTCTTTTCAATTGGCGTTCTGTACTTTGCTTCTCTCCGAGAGTAGCTGGAGTGCTCATCGGAAACTGAGCACACACTTCAGAAACCAAGTTTCAGGAAATCTTTTCAATCCTTCTTGTTTCAGAAGCACGCTTATCATAGTTTTTTTCAAACCGGCTAGTGCATTACGTGCTCAGTCACAAAATAGACAAACTGAAGACGTTTCAACCCTGAAAAATCTCGTCTTACGTAAGACTACACGAAGAAAAATCCTTTCGAAAAGTTACGGTTGTTTAAAAAAAAACATTCGAAAATATGGATGACTTCAGAAATTTTGGAAACTACGATAATAAAATAAAATTGCATCGAAGAGGAAATGAAGATCAGGCCAAATTAGTGGAATTCGTGTCACGAATTCACCTATCAAGTGCGTACCGGGGGTTCTTTCCCAGGAGTAAATCGGACGGAGCGCGAGGCTGAACACCTATTTCCATCTAGGGTCGTAGTTAAGAACGCGTGCATCATCCATTCCTCCACGTATTTTCATGGCGTGGTGCTTAATTAAGCATAAGGACGACTTTACCTCATCGCAGCAAGGACGTAGGCAAACGTCTGCCAGACTACGCTCAAGGCACCACAACCCAGAAGACAGCGTCTTCGGACTCGCCGCTGTGAAAACCTCAAATCCTGCTTAATGAATCCAGTGACAAATGTGGTCGTGGGTAAACTTTCCTGACGCAAAGCAAACTTGTTGTCAGGAGAAACTTTTGTCTTATCCTTTTCTCCGAAAGAAGACGAATAACGATGTTAAAACTTTTTCTCCTGTAGCTGCATCGGACTGCAGCTGGACAGGGCGTCCACTTTTATCTGTGATAACACCTGAGGCTTCTCCTTCTACGGAAGGCATGAAATAGAGCAGTGGAAAATATAAAAAAATACATTAATTTTTAAAAGTGCATCATAACAACTTTACTATTCTATTGTGAAGTATAGAGAAATATAATTTTATCTTAATCTGTTTTCTGGGTTGTAATAATTACACACATTCGTGGTCTTTATGATCCGATCATCGCAATCAAATTTGATGAATAACAAATTACAAAGATCCTCATCATTTCTAAAATATCGTTCGTTTCTGCACTCATTCCTATACAAGAATTCCAGGTTCAGTTCTCAGCCTAGAGAATGATTATCCTGTCTGATACTTTTCGCGGTTTTCCTTAGTCTCTCCACTCAAATATCGAGACAGTAGACGTACTCGAAATGTGGCCACAACCGGATTATTATTATTTAGTGTTCTGTCTGAGGACAGGTCCATATGAACAGGATCCTTCCATCCTTTTCTCGGACTGGGACCTGTTCATATACGTTCTTGGCAGATGATCCAGAAGTGGTTTGCCATTGCCTTCTTCTGGGTGTGAATGGAGTAATTGTTGGGATGCCAATGAGGAAAACTCCGTGTTGATTCGACTGGTTATATTCAGAGTTAGCGACAACATCGTTAAATAAGCAATACATAAACATGATACGGGCTGTTTCCTGACCTGCCGAGAGTCTGTCATCTTCACGAAGTCATTAATACGTCATTTCGTACAGAATAAATACGATCAACGGGAAAGATCAGGTGTTTTGGAAGCTAAGGAGTTGTTCATATCGGCATTTAGAAATTGGAGAGGTGTGCACTACAAGCTTATGCAGCCAGCGAGCTTTCTTCTACTCGCCGCGAAAGGTCATAGGTCAAGTCTCGACCACTTTAACGTTTGTGGTTTCATGGATGGGGTGATCCTGGGTTGCGTGCGCTGATGAAACTGCAAGCCAGCTGACTTCACGGCCTCCCCTGCTGGGCACCGTCTCCTTCCCTAACCCAGCTCATAAATCAGCAAGGCTATTGTTTCAATGTCGCTATTTGTTAACAGCTGTCTCATAAATTAACACTTGACAATGCAACAGATAGTTCTTGCTCGTTATTGCAGATTTGTTGTTCATATTTTTACTACAGACTTATAAATAAATGCAGGCGGATAAATTAATTAAGTTGGTGGGGAAGTAGCGACAAGCATTGCTGTTTTAACAGGGTGGGTAAAAATATGTTTATTAGGGGTGAGAAAAATACATGTTTGCTCCGGTGACATTTCTCCAAATGCGTTCAAAGTTACTTAAGCGTATTTTTCTTTCTGCTGAAAATAGACAATTTAAGAAGATTATTTTTCTCGGAAGCCACAAGAAGCAAACATAGATAAAAGCTGCATCAAAGACGGACGCATAAATTGAAAAACAATATTAAAAATGTTTGTAAAAATACGCTGTGGACTGGACTGAACTCGCTGAGTATAAAACCCACTGGCGAAATCCTGTAAAATTTTAATAAATCTACGGTTTCCATTAAAGTCGGGGAGTTTTTTGATCAGTTAAGAAACTATCAGCTTGTCTTTTAAGGCAATATTAGTGTTTTGAAAGTAAGTAGTGCTTCTGGGACGCCTTTAAGAGCACATTAAGTTAAGTTAACATTAAGTTAAGAAAACTGCATCTTATTTCGGTGTTTATTCGTTGCAACCAAATACCGGAAATAACGAAAGAACTTTCAACAAATAACGTAGTTTCTTCTTCTTACTTTATCGAATTGCATTCTTACCCCTCGTTAACGCGGATCAAACCATTCTATATAAAGCCTTGCCTTTGCCTTGTCAAAGCAAGAGAATATTTTGTTGTTTCGATGTAAAGACGCGATGACATTCTTTGATATTTTCCTGTCACTCATTATGGATAATTTATTAATTATAAAAAAAACATACTCAGAGGTAAATGTGTACCACCTGCTTTAACAATTAATAACTCTGTATTTTGCCTACAGAGTATTTATGAGTTTCATATCAGTCTCACAATAAACAGCGATTATTTCCTTAAACAGCGTTAACCAGTTGATCTTTGTAATGGTGAAGTGTAGTGTTTTCTTCGCGGTACGCACTGAATTCTTAAATATTATTTAGATACCTGGGTTTCGTGCGATTCTCAATGTAAACAGCGATTATCTCCTTAAACAGCGTTAACAAGTTGATATTTGTAATGGTGAAGTGTGGTGTTTTCTTCGCGGTACGGACTGAATTCTTAAAATATTATTTACATTAGTCTCGGTTTCAAAGAGGCAAATAAAGTCCAGGTACCACATTTTTCGATTCATACCAGGAAACTGTAATTTGTATATTTACTTCAGCGACTTTAAAATTATAAATTCCTCAATTCCTGAAAATTTGCTCGCCCCGAATTTCTGCGACTGTGATTGTGTGGAGAAATTTGTGTACTGTTTAGCTGGGAATTTCAGACAACTCCCATAAAGCCTACCTGATGCAGCTGTTGATAGAATCAGCACGACGATCAGTAACTGAAGGTGCCTGGCCGTCATGGCGCGATGTTACGTGCCCCGCTCATAGACGACCGTCGTGACGTCGTGCGATACCGCAGCGCTGTCCTCCGGCGCACTGATCCATCCGAACCGTCGTGATCCCCTCCACCCAACGCCAGCCACCCGGCAAATCGCGCGCACCCCCCCCCCAATCACAATCCCTGCTTCGTTTGTTGATTGGACAGTTCAGGATACAAACGCAAATTAATATTTTGACGTTATTAAACCATGGAGGATAAAATGTATGAAACATTCACCTTTGTCGAAATACATGTGTGGTACGGTTATATTAAAAAATGGATTCAGCTGGCTTGGGGTACGGTAATGAAACTTATTGTCCCATGCAGAATAGCACACCATTTGACGTAAACCGCCTTTGATGTTCAAAAAATTCTGGGTCGATTTCTTACTTCAATAAATTTCTTCGAGTTTCTACTCAGCTTCTCCCACGAATTTTGGCCCCGGTCCATGAACTAAGATGGCGGTCTTGATCTACGCATTATTTAAAATTCTGCCTTAAATTACTATAAATCAATAAGGCCACTGTTTGATGCGTTATTTCTACGAATGCTCATGTGAAAATAAATGTAAAATACGATTAGTTGCTTATTATTCCTGGCCGTCTCGTATGACACACATCATGGTAGAAAATATTTAATTAATAATCCTTTAAAGCCTGGTGGTACATATGTCCCGCCTGCTTGATAATCTACAAGGCTGGCATTTTTATGTTTCGCGTAATTCTCAGTCTAAACAACGATTATTTCTTTAAACAGCGTTAACCGATTGATCTTCGTAATGGTGAAGTGTTGTGTTTTCTTCGCGGTACGGGCTGGATTATGAAATAAAAGCAGAGTTAAGGATTGGAGAAAGGATTTTCTCTTATTAATCTTTCTTTCCGAAAAGCTAATCATACACTTGATCATCCCACTCGTAGAAAGAAATAAAACCCACGAACATTTATCATTACAGTATTATCTATAACAATTCGTTTGAAAGATGTTCGTCAGGACTTGGTCCATTTATTCTCGTATGCGTACTCCTGTCCGCTACTGCAATGAGTCAGAAAATGATTGCAAGGCGGAAGTCCTCAAGAAAGAAGGTCAACTCGACCGCAGTTCAATATCAGCCTTTCTCGTTGCATTGGTCTCGTACACTTAGCAAGGATGAGATAGGACGCCATGGGATAGAACAACCTACCATGACACACGTTTCGAGAACTTTGGGCAGGACGGAAAAACATGAAAAAAAAATTTGGACAGGCTAGGACATGTTGGGTGAAATAGGTTGGGATGGTTAGGTTAGGTTAGGAAGACGAAAATTATACGAGGTTAGGTTAGGAAGACGAAAATTATACGAGGTTAGGTTAGGAAGACGAAAATTATACGAGGTTAGGTTAGGAAGACGAAAATTATATGAGGTTAGGTTAGGAAGACGAAAATTATATGAGGTTAGGTTAGGAAGACGAAAATTATATGAGGTTAGGTTAGGAAGACGAAAATTATATGAGGTTAGGTTAGGAAGACGAAAATTATATGAGGTTAGGTTAGGAAGACGAAAATTATATAAGGTTAGGTTAGGAAGACGAAAATTATATGAGGTTAGGTTAGGAAGACGAAAATTATAT